CGTCTATAACATTAACGCCTATAACGTCTATATAACGCCAATAACGCATAAAACGTCTATAACGTCTACAACGCCAATAACGTCTATAACGACATAACGTCTATAACGTCTATATAATGCCTATAACGTCTAAAACGCCAATAACGTCTATAACGCCATAACGTCTGTATCCCTAACCCTCTAACCCTTGCCTTAAAACCCTAACGTAACCCTACTCCAAGTTTGTTTCTAAATCAATCTTGAAGAAATTTTTTTTGACAAAATGTCATTCTGAGATCAGCGAAATAACTTCTTCCGTCCACAACCTGTGTCGCGCCACGAAGCCGCGCGTTTGAGTTGGAGCCTGGGGACGAGCTGGTCGTGTCTGGTTACGCCTTCCAGTATTCCACGCCCATATTGGCGGGATAATGTTTCAACGTGTTCGTATTGCAATCATAGTCCCTTTACTAAAACTGTCGCTTAACTCAATTCGATCCGCCAATATTAATTTCCGACGTATATGACGGGAAGATTAAATATTAAAGAACTTCGCCAGTATTTGCAGTAGACGTACGAAAATACCACCAAAAAATTCCGCTTGATCGATACTATATATTCAGAAATATTCATATAATTTTATTGTTTCTCGCTCAATTTCAAGCGAATTTCTTACCTTGAAATGATCAATGCGGTGAAATTTATGCAAATGACACATTATCGATTTTGCTGTTGCATTTTGAATGTTCTGCCTGATTCAAATGCTCGTCTTTTTGCTTCTTTTCAACGTATAATAATAACAAATATACCAAAACAATCGCCATCTTCCATTCTATAGCTCGGAGCAGTCTCGGGAAATTGCGAAATAATCTTAGCCTATTATGGCAATTCTCGTGATCGGAAAGTGTTCGGCCAACTTCGGACGCCAAATTCTTGGTAAAGCATTACAGTTTCCTGGTAAAAGACTGCAGGAATCACTTCCGTAGTGTTTGTTTACCCTAGATACGGATTTTGATTGGCTTAGGCAGAAAAACAAATCTTTTAGAGCAATTTTCCTGATTATCGCGCACGGGAACACACGAGCGTTGAAATGTATTGTGTTGTAGTTTTGTTTGAATCGCATTCTGAAGACGTTTTTGGCTTTATTTGCAAACTGATAGTGCTAGTAATGATGGAATGTCTTCGTATGAAGACAAGTATCTCAACCTGGCATTGGGAGTCGTGTCTGGAGTTTCAAGGCAAGTATTTGTATCATTTGTAGACAATTTCTATTTCAATGTTTTACCGTTGCCATGGCGTTGTAAATTTATTTGTATTTAGTATAGCTTCACTAGTACGACCAAGTATGTCCTCATATCGCTTTTTTGTGTTGAAGTAATCGTTTCATACTGAAATTGATAAATATAAATGGTATTTATTTATATTGTTGACGAAAAGTTATGGTGTTTTAGGCATAAAAATCTCTGATTCCTAGGCGAAGTAAAATGAGCCTTGAGCACATGTTTGGTTGTTTGTTTATACATACATAATAGCCAAGTATTCATACTTATATCTTACTAGTTGGCTCTTATTATAATTTTAAGTGGCACCATGTCTATAAAAGTTTTTATTCGCACTGATGAATATATTGATCCTGTTCCTATCTGCTGTTCCTGTTTCATAGCCTCAGGGAAGTAGAGTTCTGATGAGTCATGAGAACCCCACTCACCAACCCAGAGGGAAGGTAGGGGGATGAGTAGAGGTAGAGGGAAGCCCAGCCATTAGGACCTAAGGTTTCGAAAGCTCCCTGTCTAGCATCCCCACTAGGCCCCATAGTACATGACGGATATGATGATCCTGACGCCAGGAATGTTCTCCCAGATTTTACTCCTCACTGACATGTCCAGGATCCATTTCGATCAACTGTGAGGTTGAGTTCATTCGGCTCAATGAACTGCAAGCTTGAGTTCATTCGACTCTTTTTTACTAAGGGAATGCTTCAGGAGATAGTTTCCTGACCATACCAATACATATGCCCACATACAAATAACTCAAAAGTTATCCCCATATACTAATAAAAAAGGGTCTTGCAGTCCACCAACCTTGAGAGGTTGATTGCCTTTTAGTATAATATGCAGGTTTGCTAAAGGTCGACAGTGAGATTGAAAATTATTGGAGTGTAAAAACCTTACATCATGGTCTGTTGGCAATAGACATAATTTCTCGGGTTAGGTACAAAGCGCTTATGGTGTTTGTGAATATGGTAGATCCTGTACTAAAGACTACAGCAATAAACTGCATCAACAACTGTACCAGCCGTCACAGAATATTGTTGTTGCAGACAAACACACTGTCAAATCAAGAAATAGGCCAAGGGTTAGGCAGTTCATGAAAGCTAGATGACCTACTATGTGGGGAATAAATATGTGGGTTGCTGCAGACAATCCTAATGGTTATATTGCGACTTTGAAATTTATACAGGAAGAAGTCCAGATATTCATCGCAACAGATTTGGGTATGATGTGGTGATCTGATACCAGTTTGGTTACAGTCTTAGGTCTTTTGTAGTACAATATAAAGGAAATATTTTCACCACATAATCCAATTATGTGCTTTGGCAAACATTACTGCTTAGCAAACATTACTGCCTTGGAAAACATTACTTTTTTATAACTACTAATTATGATGATGCCAGCCCAACAACACTTGGTCATGCTATTTGCAAATATTTTCATGTTCTAGATTGTGAAAACAATCAATTTCTAAACAAATGAGTAGTGATTATTTCAAATTTGAATAGCATGACCAAATTTTGAGGCTGGTTATGCCACTAATAACTAAAGTCAATGGTGTAATGATTATCTAAGAATGTATGTAGTAATTGCAGAAATAAAGACATTTTGCTAATCATGATTTGAGTGTTCTTTTGTGGGTATCACAGACTTATTTTGGTGCCATACTATCTTTGGAGAGTAAGAAATATTGGAAATTTGTATTGATAACATGTTGCAGCAATAAGAAAGGACCTTTGATAAAGGTGTTTGTTTCATGTGAGCACAAAATGTAAATTTTACTCCACTACCTAGTTTATATAAAAATTCAATAAAAATATTTCTATTTATGCTACATGCATGAAACTTCGGGTAATTGTAGATCATAACCGTGTCTTTCAGTCATATTCATAAAATTTTTTGACATATTTGAAATTTGAACCGCTAAATACATTTATGCATAATTGCGACATTTTTTTATATCATAATTTATGCACATTTATGCGAGTAAATCGTTAACCAAGCTCCGGATGAAATTGAAATTGGTATTGTTGGAAAGCAGAAGTCCTCCTCTTTCGAACGATGCCATTTCTGTTTCCGTGCGATGTATAATTTGAGAGATATAAGCGTTTGAAACAACACCACTCGAAATTGCTACTTTTCGACCGGATGAGAATGAGTTAAAGACTCAGTGCAAAATGTCAAGTAGAATAAAGAGACACGAGGTGGTCGTCCAGAATGGGGTAATAGGAGCGTTGCAGAATGAACTATTTTCGTCCGAGAGCAACTTTAGACTCACAGAAATACTGCATTATATATCTACACAGAACCAAAGTGGGTTTTTGGTTAAAATCAAAAGCAATAATGATTTATATGAAAGGTATAAAAACCAAATACTGTATACCATTTTATATTAATATGAATAACCTTCTATTAGAAAACATTTACCGCTTCTCCAACAGTGAAATTTGTTTTTACAATGAGTCTGATCTGTCAGTAAATCCATAACCTGCTTTTCTGATCTGAAAATGTTACTTTTTTACACAGTGTGTGTTTCTTCACTTTGGACGATGCATCGACAACTAAGAGATTTATGAAGGCAATAAACAGCTCGAAAGAATCTCGTGGTTATTTTTGCCAATTATTTGACGGAGAGTTGAATAAATACATCATGCGGATGGCTGATGAATATTTCCAAAGAAATCCTGAAGCAAGGTATAAACCGAGACTTGCTGCTGAAAACAATGGTCGTCAAAGTGATGGCAAAACGTGGGTATTAAACGAGAACTGCCAAATTGACGCAGACGGCGATCAGTTGGATGACACTGACAGCAGATACATATGGATGGGGGAGTACGTATCTTCTAAATCGATCTACTTGTTAAAAATCGTTGTACCCCTGAAAAAGAAGTCGTTTTCACAACTTTTAAAAAGGTTGAAGAACGCCGTTCCAGGTATGGTGCACGTGTAAAATCGGCACGTTATATATATGAGCTGCGCTCACTCGTGAGATATCATGTTCAACACTCGAAATAAATCTGGTATTTCCAAGCACCCATGTATTTTTCTGTTTATTATATAAAAGACAGTCTTTGAAAAGCGATAATTTTTACAGAAAAGCGAAAATTGAAAAGCGATAATTTTCACATGTGAAATTATCATAAATAATCTCACATGTGAGATTATCACTTTTATCAGTGCTCGAAATCTCTATAAAGCACCATACTTTATATAATAAATAATAATAATACAGAGTTTCTAAGTGACCCTTTAGAAATCACCCTTTGTTGTTATTAATAACTCTCAAACTTCATTACCTCTGGTGTAATACTATTCACTGTGCATTACTACTTTGATACTTGAATTCAGATGTTGATCAAATCATGCGTAAATCACTATTTTAGTCTCAGTTTTCTTCGAAAAATTTAAAAACACTAAAGAAATACGTAGACATGTTTCTAGCTTGTCAAAAATCAACCTCGTCCCCAGGGCCTTTTAAAGAAAGATGCGAAGGGCAGCAAAGGCCCTGGTAAAGGCTGGTGAAATAATCGACAAATTGTGGATTATTTTGTCACGTGATATATCGGAGCAAATACTATACAGGGGGGTGTGTGATCGCGGATCGCTCTATATTCGTCAATTTCAATAAAAACTGAATCGGACAAATAAAGAACAAAAATCTATCTTAAAAATGAAAACATCTGTTAAATTTCTTCCAGAATTATTGAATAAATATGAAATTGTCTTCAGATTAGTTCTGAGAACCTTGGTTGAACTGTAAAAGAAGGAGATCTATTTAAATATGCAAGCCACATTTCAAACGATTGTCGACAGAAGTATTTATAAAACGAAAACAGCTATGATTACTGTAAACAGGTAGGTATTCGGTTTGTATTCATTCGGCAGTATTTCACCTTAAATATTAATATACATTGCATAAATATATATTCAAAAATCAATAATGCAAGAGGAAAACACAAAGAAAAATCATAATACTTTATATGTGATAGAGATTTCCCTATATACATAAAGTCATAAACTTTAACTTTGATTTTCTCTACTAATACACAATGTATTTTTTGAAAATTACTTCGCCAATGAACTTACTAGATCGATCGTTTTTGAACAATTTAAAACATTCACAGATCGTGTTTAATTATCAGACCTAAAGATACTTGGCTTTGCCTCTAATGTTTATATCTGACAAAACACTTTTAAATAGCTAGTACATAAAACAACTTATATTTATAGCCTGAATATTATTATAAATGTAGCTGTAATGCTGTATCAAGGATACTATCCATATATTCTTGATGCCCAGCATTTATCCGATACATTTAACATTTACCAATCATTTGTGTGAATTAATTCCTGAATAAGTTAATACTGTGATTTCCAGTTGAGTATGGAATTGTGAAAGTTTGTTCGTCAAGTTTTGTCGTTTGAAAACAATGTTTGTGACATCATTCTATAATGTTGTTAGGCGAGCTGACAATGTTGTCAAGTAAAATACTGCCAAGTTCACGACTATAAATAGAAACTTATTTCATTTTGTAATGATTGACAGTTTAACGGTTTTTACTTGACAACATTGTGTGCTCGCCTGGTAACATTATAGAATGACGTCACAAACATTGTTTTCAAACGACAAAAGTTAACGAACAAACTCTACGAACAAACTTTCGTAATTCCATACTCAACTGGAAATTGCAGTATTGTTATCAGAATGTATTGATCTGTCATAATTATGGTTATTAACCCATTGAGTCGCATTGCACCCTGATGCACCCTACTTTAGTATTTTACTCTATCTAACGCCAGACGATTTTACTCGTCAAGGTCTATCTGCCCATGTGTCTAGTTAAACCATTGAGTCGCATTGCACCCTGTTGCACCCTACTTCAGTATTTTACTCTGCGTAACGCCAGACGATTTTACTCGTCAAGTGGAGAGCGTTGGCGCGCTTAGTGTGTTAACCCATTGAGCTGCAATGCGCCACAGTGTGCCCTACTTATTTTTTCATTGTCTAACGCCAGATAATTTTACTCGTCCAGGGCTCATTAACGTAGAGAAAAAATATGGTCTGCCAGTTTTTTTGGCAGGTGAAATAAATTTTAGCCTGCCATTTTATTCATTGAAATGCCAAAATGGCAATATCTCATATCAGTCACAATGCAAAAAATTAAACATTTTTAGTATTTTTAAACTTGTCTATTTTCAACAGTAAACTTGGAATATTACATGTCAAATATAAACATATTTAGTCAACTAAATGATCTAGACAAGTATATATGAGTTGTGGTAAGCAAATAAAATGAAATGTATAGAGTTTCATTTGACAGTTCAAATATATATGTGTGTGTGTGTGTGTGTATGTATGTATATATGTATATATGTATATATGTATGTATATATATATATGTACATATATATATAAATGTATATATATATATATATATGTATATATATATGTATGTATATATATATGTATGTATATATATATGTATGTATATATATATGTATGTATATATATATGTATGTATATATATATGTATATATGTATATATATATATATGTATATATATATATATATATATATAACTACAGACGGTACCGTTTCGGCCTAATGGGCCTCATCAGTGTAGTGCTGATGAGCAGGATGAAAGTAACTCTTATTTATAGTTACCTTTGATGCCTCACGATTGTGGGACATCAAAACCATGCCAGAGCGCTCAATATATATATATATATATATATATATATATATATATATATATAAATTAAGGTACAACAAATCAACAAAATCCACTAGGCATCTTTATTACTAAATAGTTTTGTACCACAGTATGTGGCACTCTTCAGATAAATTGACCTAATGACTATAGACTAAAACTTACAAGGTTATATGTAAAGTGGATGAGACATGAAACTTAATCCTATTTACAAAGCACGCGATTTAATAAACATGTTATATGATAAGCTGACAGGACGCGGAAAGATTAACACACCACGGTATATTTAAATGTCTAGCTTTTAAATGTTAC